CTCCGTAAGGCCATGTTTTCTGAAATATATATGCTTAATCAGCAAAAGAAAGATCGGTTATTTGTAAACATGATGCAACATCTCACTATCTAAATCACACTCACGTTTCTGACAGTAGGAACCGAACCATCCTTCCTGACATCTGTCTGGATCACCGACCTGGCTACAGGGAGTAGAGGGGAACACGGCACAGGCAGCTGCAGTGTTACAGTGACACTCGGCATCTGTTTGAAAATAGATACCTGAACTCGATTGAAAGTGATCATATTCAAACAAACCAATAAACATATGAGAGATTAAACTTTTACATTCTGTGAATGAAGTTCTTACCAGTGAGAGTAGCATAGACACAGACCACTAGCAGTCCCATCCAAAACCAACCCATGAAGTATAGCTGAATGAAAACAGAAAACGTTCACAGCCTTGATCACATAAACAGCCAAACTTACCTGAGCGTGCAGAGTGAAGAGCTTTAGACCTTTCAGTGTTTCTCAGCGAATAATGATAACATGTTTTTAACCTGAGACACAAATTCGAAATATTTATAACATGTAACAGTATTCCAAAACACCCGGGTGGAATTGATTTTAGCAACCCAATGCTTGTCATAAGAGGTGATTAACGGGATAGGGTGGTCCGGTTCGCTGACATGGTTGATGCATGTCATCGTATCCCATTCCCAGCTGTGTACATCGATGCTCATGATGTCAGTTGCTTGAATACCTGGACCAGATTCGATTATTTACAGACTGTGTGTGGGATTAAACAAGGAGAAAAGAAACGAAACCAAATATACCATACCGTCTCACGTTAACCGTGTTTGTTTACAAACATCTATCGCGCAGCTGGAACATTTCTGTGTGCATCTTTAAACAATAAACAGACAGTATCCTGAGAGGAAAATAATTCTACGCATTCATATCCCTGGTATCCTCAAACAACGATTTAGCATAGCACCAACTGCCCAGGCAGGTTTCAGGTCTTAGTTAATGTATACAATATGACGTGTCGAGTGGAGTTTTTCAATTGCTTGGCTTTGTTCAAGTGTTTGGGGTCAAGTAGAGTGGTTTTTATGTGTGTTTAGTTTAATGAAAAACATTTAAAAAATAGTTTTTAGTGACACCTTTTCAGCAAAGACAGACTATTCAAAATGTGACACATAAATCTGTTTATTACATTCGAATACTCAAATAAAGTACTCCATTTGTTTTCATTAATTAACGTGATTAACAAAAATGTATTCATTGTTTAACTATTGTCATCAATAGACTTTCGTACAAATGGAAGCCCAAGAGTTCAAAGGTTAAGGTTCTCTGTTCAGGGAACGTCCCATAACTGTATTTCTTTCTATGTATCCAAGTCTGAGCAATAACGTGACACTGAACTGCAGTTTAAAAGTAAACACAGTCTCCGTTGAGGGTTTACAAAAATGCAAACTGTCTGTGCTGTAAATATCCAGTCTAGCATTCACACACTAAAGACCTTGTTCATATTTGCTTGTCATATTTCAAGAACGAGTTCAGCTTTGAGTTTACGAAGAGACTACAAGGTTCGTAAAGATGAAATATGATTCTGTATTGTCAATAAAATGCTGTATTAAAAGCGTAACGGACAAGCCGTATGGTGATAATGATGATATCAAAAAGATTGTCGTCAAGCAATATGAATCTAAAACTGAAATTAAATTTCATTTCGGTACATGTCGTCAATCATGTATATTCAATGGATCACAACTAATTCAATGACTAAAGTATGTACTCACCTCGGACAAGGGCATCCCGCATAGAACACAATCTCACTGCACGTTCACATCGGCAACCAGGAAGAAAATAATATGTATGACAGATGAAGTCACATGCTCAACGGGTTGTCTTGTATGCATTGAAGGTGGTGCAGCTTAACATGCATTGAAATTGACATTGCAAAGCCTTAAAGGCTCGGATGTATGATGAACAAATACTGAATATCACACTCTTTCTCTCAACTTCTGTTTCTGCTCACATATAATGTAGGCAAAGTCACTGCCCGCTGAGAGCATCTGACTAGATATACTTTGCGATTACAGTGACAAGAAAATAAAATAAACATATGACCATTGACACTAAATGTACCATTGACATTATGATATGGAGAGTTTACCAACATCTCTCTCTGATTTCGTAGATAAACAAGCTTTGCATTGTATGCACCAACGTCAAATCAGTAAAACACGGACATCGCGGAAACTTCTTTTCAAAGGTTTGCTGATACATCAAGACCAGAAATGTCTGATATGAAAGGCGTATGCAAACACTCATGATCGAACGAGCGATTGTCTCGATATGTATGCAAAACTTGAATCCATGCCAGGCCTCAAATCCGTGTCGGATTTACAAATCCATGGCAGATTTTCATATGCACGGCTAGCTGCCGTACCTTCCCAGATCTGCGGCGATGTTCTTATTAATCGTGATTAGAAACTTTCAGCTCGGCAGAATACGTGTTAATAAAATTCCCTTTATGTGTTTATGTGTCTTCAACGTTGTGATGCATCTGCCTTATTTAGCCAGTTTTTTATCAGACTTATGTTTGGATTTGTCGAGTAATTGTTTCCCCTTTAATGAAAATCCTTAAGAAAACTCAAACGATTGAATAAGGGTAAACATTTATTTATTAAGGTATGGTGTAAATCCTGCTAGGGCCCATGCAGGTAGCCAAGGTTCTGTAAGTCCCCATGGTCCCTAGTATGGTGATCTACCTCCAGTTGTTGGCGACCAATAGCCCATTTTTACATTGTATTGTCTAAAATAGTTTTCTACTTTTAAAAATACATGCTAGCTAGTTTTAACTCTTATTGTGACACTCTAGTTATTTTACAGTCCGTCGATGACTGGTTATTTAACTACTTGTATATTTATTGTGTATATACAACATTTCTCGTCACTGTATTGCTGAAATATTGCCGAGGTGACGTTAAATTCACTCACTCACTTATATGAGATGCAATTGTTACAACACGGTGGTCTTAGGAAGACCCGCTGTACAACATACACACATGCACATGCACACACAGGTCCGCACTCGCATACGCATAGGCGCACGCACACGCACGCGTGGTATGTGTACAGTCTACCTGATCATAATGTCAATCTAGTTATGACACCACTAATAGCCTTTCTTTTAGCAATAGGTCCAGCTCCCTGATGGTCATTTACAACCCATTAGATGCAACACGCTGTAAGAAGGATATCGTGAACTATTAACTAGTGTACACTTCTTCAACGTCATCACTTGCAGCAGCATCCACAGCAGCAACATCTCTTTCCACATCAGTACGTAAATCCCAAAACATTTAGAGTAAATTTAGGCTTGCCACGTATTTAATCGTAGAATATGTGTGCTTTTAATTTATGGCTAGATTTCTCTTCTGTCGCCAATGGCTGAAGGGATGGTGTAAATCCAACTAGGGTCCATGCAGGTAGCAAAAGTAATGTAAGTCCCCATGGTTCCTGGTATGGTGATCTACCTTCAGTTATTGGCGATTTATAGCCCATTTTTATACTGTATTGTTTTTCCCCTATTGTTAAAACGTTTTAGATTTAATTACTAGTTTTACATACATATCTGTGATATTCTAGTTGTTTTACTGTCCTTCGTCGGCAGGTTTTTTATAATATACATATATTTCATTTCAATATCAAATGTTCTCGTCACGATATGGCTGAAATATTGCCGATGTGACGTTAAATATTAACTCACTCACTCACTCACTTGCCACATCATGTGTTAACGGAATCAAAGGTAGATTTGTGCAAAATATGCGTATAGCTGTTGCAACTGTTATCTTTATATCTGCGTATGAAACTATGGCCCACCGATCGGTAAATACAATAATATTGTAAATTGTCTAGTGATAGGTGGTCTCACATGGTTTTGATCGACTTTGTTATCACCTGTTCGTTTACTTGAAGTCTCTGAAGTGAGACTCTGTGTAACTCTTAACTGCATAATAATGTGCTCCCTTCTGGCTTCACACTTTAGGTATGAATAAACAACTAAAACATGTAAGTTTGGCTTAAATCTTTATTGTATACCCTCTGTTACGGTAGCCTCTCATTCTTCGAAGGTGCCGCGAATTGTCGCCACCAACATCAATCACTGTATAGATTGGAAAGCTGTAAACGAACTATTGAATGCCAGTAGAAGCCGGTCATTAACGGAAAATATAATTTTTGTGTCATTTCTAATATTAAGAACAGAAGGCTCATTATCCTAATAATTATTGTTTAATTTCTTTGTGTTGCAAGTTTTTGCAAATAATGTCCTTTCTCATGATAACACGAACATCACTAAATATGTAATAAATATCAAGGTAAAGACTGTAGCTATAGTCAAATTTATCGTTATCACTCTTATGACTACAAGACATTATTTTTACACGGGGCTATTTAAATCAAACACGTGTACATCTGACATACCTGTCTCTGTGTACCATCTACCAGTTATCTGCGATACTTGTTCAAGCGTATTTCACTAGTATTTTCTGTGTGATGTGCTTGCAAATAGATTTCAGAAATTGTATACAAGAAATGGACTTATTCGTTTAAGTCCATTTGAAAAAACATGTTCTGTCAATAGTGGCAATATAAGGAAGCACGTCCATGACAAATTGTCATAACAGCTTTGACTGATGTTTACAGAATGAAACGATGTGTGTCATAAATCGATTAAGTCTTAGTCAACAAAGCATGAAAAGTAGCATAACTCAGCGAATGTTAACGTTGACAGAAAAAGATGTGCGGTGTCAACAGATGACAAAGATAAAATAAAACGTGAGTCAACAAAATAAAATATTATAACTATTTGGTGTCATTTACAGATTATGTACAGGCCTCAATATTTATTTAAGTCGACATTCTACTTTCATTTTGTATATGCACTACGCTACGTCTTCCTATGGTCCCGGAAGCAACTGATGCTGCATTTAATTTGATTAGTTTGATCGAGAACAAAACATAAAATTATGTATGAAAACATCTATTAGCATGTACATGCTTTTCTTACTAAATCACTAAACGTCCCCAATAGTGTGTCACTTTGTGATGGGGTGAAAAATATACATATTTCTGCAGTGTGGTACCGTTCCTTGTCCTCTCATCCAGTTTCATCTTGAACGTGACTGACTGTATTGTAGTAGGGCGTTGCATTGCCGATATGTTCGTATGTACTTTCTGCTACTGTTGTCCTCGTCCTCTCATCAAGTGTCACATAGTGTTCATCTCTCACCTTGGTCTTCATGCTTTCCAGTTCTTTCAGTAATCTGACGTGAAAAAAAGTCATTGCTAATTCGTAAAATTAACAGAAACCAGAAAAATGGGTCCTCAAAACTGTTGTAACTTGACTGCCACGTCACAGCTAAAACAAAACTTTGAAACTGTGTTTAATAGTAAGTAGCGAATTGGGGAGGTTACGATTCGAAATATATCTAAATAGGGGGTGAACTGTGAGTATTGTAGTAACGATGACAATCACATGAGTGATTGTATACTGTATTTTACATTTTCGGCGTTGGTTTTCAATGATTACCTGATTTACTCTCACGCACAAGTTTAATTAACACATTAAGCATCTGTAAATATATATATGAATACAACCGCCAGTGCACATACTGATACACGAGTCAAATAGTTAAAGTTTGAAGCAGAACTCAACGAATTTAGAAACTGCTAAAATACTATAGCTAGTAATATATTTATCACCAATGAAAAGTTTCTATACAGGATAAACAGAACAACACGTTTTTGATGTGTAAAGGAAACGGTCTGCAAGGACCGGTGCACATTCATTTAGCGTATGGACAACAGTGATGCAAAATATAATACCGTCTTATGTATAAGGTTGCCCCAGTCAATGCGCAGATGAGCAACACACCAAGGACAGCTGCCACTGGGATTCCCCAGTTGGAACACTCCTCTGTAGGGTAGAAAAATAGGTAACTGTGAAAATAATCCAGAATATATCAAAAGAATAAAGAATTTACAAGTGCGTCAGTTTCAGGTGCATTGTGCGTGTTTAACACTGATCTGAAATTCCGGTTTTCATTTCATCAAGTAAGACATGTTGTCCCTTGTATGGCATAATTCTAATCCTCATAAAAATAGTGTTAAATAATATTCGAAACTAACGCAACACAAAGAAACAAAAGGTTGTTAAGTCGAATCATTTCATTGTATGTTGCATAGTCTCACCACTGTATGTGCCATAGGGCTTACCTTTACACACAGATGTACAGTTAATCCCATGTGTACCAACGGCAGACCATATGAGAACCATATGAAATCGTTTCAAATACAAATGTCATGTTTGATATGCAATACCTTCAAATTAGGTATCCAGCTTTTCGTTGTTGGAATCTAAGAAAGTTACGACAGCCTATAATCATAGCGTTCATGTTGTGACATGCCTGTTTACGAATGAATCTGTCATCATTCACAAAGAGTTTCTCCTGATATGGCTGTTGACAGGTTCCATGAGTGTCATTGACTGTGCTACATGGCATGCTGGATTGCAATGACTACAACCAAACTAACAGGAATTAGAAATGACAACGAAATGTAGCTACATAGGTTATGGATTTGAATTTCAGTTCATTAACCTAACTGGTATATATCTATACCAGTAGTATACACAATGGGGATACGGGACCAGGTCCCTAATCCCGTAGCCTCATTGGGTATACTACTACTGAGTTTGACGAAAATCGGTCGAATAGTTTCTGAAATATTGACTTTTAAGTGAACATGGGGTCGGTCGGGAAAAATCAAGGCCTTTTTCACACACACACACACACACACACACACACACACACACACACACACACACACACACACACACACACACACACACACACACACACACACACACACACACACACACACACACACACACACACACACACACACACACACACACACACACAATACATACACACACATACACACATACACACACACACACACACACACACACACACACACACACACACACACACACACACACACACACACACACACACACACACACACACACACACCACACACACACACACACACACACACACACACACACACACACACACACACACACACACACTGATGACCTATATCATACAGTGGGCGATCGAAAAGGGACTGTGTCATGAGGTACAATCATCAACTCGTCTCTGACGAATGCTCTCCTCGGCCCGTCTTTCAAGTAGTACAAGTTCGGTTCGCCATCTTTGTTGTAGTCTTATGCCCAGAAGGCGATGGCTCATGGGCCAATCTGGTAGATTGATTACTTGTTTAATCTTTCTGCTTGAGTATATCATCCGGGTATCCTTGGTGCTGCAAGTCGGAGATCCACTTGTATATAACATTGTCCTTGTGATACTCCGTGGTGGGTGGGGAACTCGGATGATGAAATCTCTACACTAACCATGGCTTATGAAACCCCCACCGAAAAAACAAAACGTCCTCTTGAAAATGATCCTGATGATGATGACCTTAGACCGTCCAAATCAATTGACTTTGGCCACGCTTTCTTGTGATTGAAACTCTCGACAAAACACCATTAAAGCTGAACCCTTTCGCGGTTTCCAAGGGTATTCAAGGTATCACCAGCGAAGTTAAGAACATTAAACGGTTACGTTCAGGTGCGTTACTGGTTGAGTGCGGGAAATGGCAGCAATCAGCCAATCTGTTGAACACTGAATCGTTTGTCAGCATTCCTGTTGCTGTCTCTGCTCACAGGACATTAAACACAAGCAAAGGTATCATCAGAGATCGTGATCGGTTGTTTTCTGACATGTCAGAACTTGACATCGTGACTGAAATGAAAGATCAAGGTGTACTCTATGTAAAATGCTTTTCAATCTGTAAAAACAATGAAACTGTTGACAACTACTTATCTGTTTTCCTTTTCGTCACCAACTGCTCCCAAATCACTGAAAGCAGGTTATTGCAATATCAAAGTTGACACTTACATTCCTAATCCCCTGAGATGCTTTAAATGCCAGAAGTATGGACATGGTGTAAATACTTGCACATTGTCCGTTGTGTGTGCTCACTGTGGTGAAGAGACATTTCATTCGTATTTCATTAACTAGCTGTGTTTGTAAGACCATGGAACGCATAATAAATAATCGACTTGTTTGGTACTTGGAAACCAATAACCTAATAACACATATACAATGTGGTTTTAAAAACAGAAGTACTGTCGATCACTTGGTGCATATAGAATCATTTGTTAAAAACGCTCTAATTAATAAACAACACGCCGTGTCTATCTTTTTTGATCTAGAAAAAGCATATGGCACTACATGGAAATATGGCATTTTAAAAGATTTACATGGTTTCGGATTTCGAGGCCGCCTGCCTCAATTTATAGCCAACTTTTTGAATGACAATCAGGATCAGGGTGTCCCACAAGGCAGTATTTTGTCTGTCACACTCTTTAGTATAAAGATAAATAGTTTATCTATAGTTTTAAACGATTCAATTGACGGATCGTTATTTGTGGATGATTTTAATATTTCTTGTCGCGGTACAAATATGCATACTATTGAATGGCAAATGCAATTGTGATTACACAAAATAGATAAATGGTGTCTTGAAAACGGTTTTAAGACAAGAGGAGGAATTTGACAAAGCAGAGGCTGCATACTGGAAAGAGAACCCCATGGAGTATTCTTCTGTGGACAAAAAGCTATGAAAAATGACTGGGGAAGGACCAATAGACCAACCAGCTCGTATACTAGGCCACTTTGGCAACGATACAGCTAAACGGTTTGCAAATCACAGCGGAATGTATGTTGTTGGGTACGTGAGAGGTATTCTATTCTGTATCCCTGGTGGGACTATTTGTTTCTAGCTGTATACTACAGACACCAGTCTATCTTTTTTCTTTTTTTTCTCGATAGAAAAAGCTAATCCCGCTCGGTCTCTGCGAGCTGCAACTCAACTTCTCGATTGTCTTTCCTCTTCGATATGGGCGAGTGGCAGATTTTGCCCAGCCTGCAAAGAAACGGTCCACCCTCCAAACGTAGGCATTCTATTCGAACCTTTTCTCGTATCCTGTAGCCATACACCGGAATTGTTGTTTCTCCAGTCGATGGCGAATCCAGTAGCAGCAACAGTCGGTTCTTCCTTTCGTATTTTGCTACGGCGAACATTTGGCACGTGTAGATTCCTTCCGGAACGTCTGTGGCTTTTTGGTGTTCGCTGCATGGAGGGGCTGTCACTTCCATATCCTTGGGTCCGCCGTAGTTGGGCAAAGGGGTGGTATGCCGTCCCCGTCCCTGTCCCCATGGCAGGTCTTCTTGTCCCGATAGCTGCCGGAAGATTCAAGATTCTTTCTCGCTGCATGGACAATTGGCCAACTCGTCAACAAGACGTTGGTAGCGCAGGCACCACGAGAGGCAGTCGTCATCGTACTGGTTCTCTATGTTCGAAAGAAAGTAGCTGATTGGGATTTCTTCCAGAACCTCGAGTGGGAGTCGATCATCCTGGGATGGTGTGTAGTCTTCTATAGCTTTGTTTTTCCACAGAACGCATTTCTTGCTGTCAACGCAGTGGTCGATGGTGCCGCACTTGCACATAGAGTTGTCTCCCTTGAAGAGAGTGGGGAGTTCTGATATGCCAGCCAGGCAGTCGGTGCACCGGTGCACCGGTGGTGTCTTCTGTCCTTGGGTTCTGCTGGGCAGCAGTAGTCGTCCGCGAGAACGTAGCGGAGTTGGTCCGATGCCGGGCGAAATTGGTTGGGTGGGTAGGGGTAGATGAAATCCACTATTTTGCCGTCTTCGACGAATTGGCGAAAGTACAGCAAATACAGTTCCAGAAACTCGTGAGGCATCTGGCAGCACTCGTAGAAGGTTTGTCGAGATTTCTCCAGGATTTGTTTCTCTCGGTCCGAAAGCAATACGTGGGCCATGAAGACAATGCCCATGTCGGCAGTTCTCTCGGAGCTGCCATGGATTCGCAATATGTGGTACTTCCTCTTTGCTTCTTGAAGGGACAAACGACCCAATCGAATCTCCGCATACGCTTCACGCGATCTATACCTATGTACATAGTGTATCTCTAATTTGAGTGCACCTTCGCTGATGGAGAAACAACATGAGAGTGGTCCAAACTGTTGTTGTTTTTCTGCGCTGGACTCCATTTTTGCTTTCTGTATACCTGTCTTGGGGTTGGATGGACTACTGGGGCCGCGAAGAAAAAAACAATAACAACAAAGAGTGTCCCTATATACTCAAATGTTGAGTGGAGGTGCACCCTTTGGTCTTTTCCCCATTACTTTAACATAGGGTTTTTACTTTGCGGTCCTGTACCACCACTGTGTATACTACTATACCTTAAGTGCAATATACGCCATTAATACTCACGTTGTAGACACGTGCCGTCATTAATCCACCCTGCTGCACATCCTTTAGGACAAGTTCCACTTATCTTGTCACAGCTGACACCATCCAGACAGTTTCCACATTCCGAGGAGCAGTTGATACCATAGGAACCATCTGGACATGCTGCAAACAAACAAACATAATGGAGTCATTAGGCAACAGTATACTGCAAGGTTAACCTTCTTTTAAGATGATGCAGACCCACCTTGTAGACATGTTGTATCACTTTGCCATCCTGCTGCACATCCTCCTGGACAGCGTCCGTTTGTCTTTTCACAGATGCCATTGTTTAGGCAGTTTCCACACTGAGAGGCACAGTTTATGCCATAGGAACCATCTGGACATCCTGCAAAAAATACATATACATATTGAACGCATGACGTGATCTATTATTGAAAGTTTCTGTCCACTTAAATCATATAGATTTACCTTGTATACATGTTGTGTCCCTCTACCACCCTGACACACATTCTCCAAGATGGTTTGTCCTGTCATCGCTTATACCTAGTAACTAATGTCTATATGACCATTAATGCAACTTTCATAAGACAATATCACTACTCATGTTGTTGACATAACATTGTGTGGTCTCTCATCCACCCCGAGGCACATCCTCCAGGACATGTTCCGTTTATCTTACTACATCTGACGCCACTGGGGCAGTTTCCACACGGAGAGGCACAGTTGATACCATAGGAACCATCTGGACATGCTGTAGGATTCACACAGACATGTACTGCTCATCCTGTCACTCTGGAGTGACTACAGGACCCAAACAACTCCAAGACCACATATGCTTGAACATAAGGACTTTCGTTCATCACCAAGAATTGGACTCCAAAAACAAACAAATGTGGTCTAATTATAATTCATAAAATTTGCAGACAAATATCCATTTATCGAAAAGATCATAGGAAGAAATTAGGACTTATGTTGAAGACATAACATTGTGTCGTTCTTCACCCATTCAAATACACATCCTCTAATGCACAAAAACTGATAGTCTTAAAATAAAAGCGTCGCAGTCATTTTCACGTTTCTGCTTTTGTAAATCGTAATGGAAGAAGGAAATTTTACAATCAAAATGTTAACTGGTGTGCCAACAGCCTGCTCGGAGGCTTTCACTGCATCATGCTGTGAATTGTAAAACTAGAAAAATGAGTCAACGGAATCAAAGTAAACCCATTCTCAATGAGCTAACATATCAGGATGCCCTACATGAAACATCTGTACATGTAGTCGTTCCCACTGACAAAAATAACAAAACCATTATATGGAAGCATCATTGCATTCAAAGAACTTCTGTTAAAGGACATAAAATAAATGCTACTTACGTAGAAGCAATCTGCACAAACCATGTATAAGAACTATCAAGGTTGGGATTTACTTCAAACCCTTATACTTCAAATCCCCTTTAAATCCGTACAATGACATGTATATTTTTTCAAGTCGAGCAAATGTGCCAACCAATCCAGTTGCCATTTATCAGATAGGATGACATCAACAATAAGGTGACATTTACCATTGATGTTATCACATCCATAGAGTGTTGGATTATTCAAACTTATCAACAAACTAGATCAACACTTTATATCATAAAAATATAACTTGATATACCGTTCCATACAACTTAGAATTATATACAGTTTATATTGTGTCTTTGCTGTTGAAAAATGCTTTTGGACATATGATTACTTAAGAATGCATTGATACTGTCGACTAAGCTCCATCACACCAACATACTAAAAACAGAAGTAGACTAACAATACCTGGAAAGTATTTGCGCGTACCAGAGATACCTACCCCATTAAATGTTATTTGTATTTTCAGCACATACCTGTTTGGCAATCAGTACCATGATTTCCAGGGAAACACCCACTAGAACAGCGACCAGTGATCTTGTCACATACATCATTACTGTTTAGGCACCGGCACTGTTTGTCACAATCTTCAGAAAACCAACCGTCACTGCAAACTGAATATTGTTCAACATGCGGTTACAGTTTAACAGTACGATTTTGAGATCGTATGTATTCAACATTTATATGAATGTGACTATTTCGGATCCTAGGTGGAATATGTTCATGTTATTTATAACTTTTATATACACGCGAAAATCCGGGTTAGATTTTTCCCTTCAGTTTGTCGTAAAAAGCGACAAATGGGATCGGGTGGTCAGGCTCGCTGACTTTGTTGACACATGTGATCCCAATTGCGTAGATCAATGCTGATGCAGTGGAGAGTCGATTATTAACAGACCGCCTCCATATAGCTGAAATACTGCTGAGTGCGGCGTTAAACATCAAACCAGCCAACCAAATCTAACTTTTATGTACACACATTACATTATGGTTGAAATATTGATTATCATGATCAAATTATCTGATATCCAAATTCACGTTGTAGGAAGTTTTGCGATACAGTCATTACATGTTCATTTCCACTGCTTTGGTATATAGAGAATACTACACGAGGTCTCATTACATACGAATTATACGAAACGAGTGTCCTTCCTATGGTATCTGACCGAGCGAAGGTCACGAGTTCCGTATAATTCGTATGTAATGAGACCGAGTGTGGTATTTTATTTATTACCCACGTCTTACATGCATTAAACTGACCAAATAGCGTATTTTTTGTTATTTTTTGGTTTCAAACCGAAACCGGTTTCATAAAGAGGTTGCGGAAGAGTTTTGTACTGTAGTACAATATTTGCATGACGTCACACTGTAATGACGTCACTGCCTTGGTAACAGACGTCAGGATGCATGTCAGTTGCCATCGCCTCGTACAGCCTCCTACAGTAAACTACTCCGTAGCACCCCGTTTCTTGGTTTGCAGTTGCTTCATTCGGCTAACATCACTGGTGGAAACATTCCGTTTATGTTTTTCGATGGATATAATGTCTCAGTTCGACTCACAATTAAACAGCGACACGGCAACGTTCGCAATGTTTACATTCCCACAATGCATTTAAGTTATAGAATGAATGAATTCACGTGTTCGTTATGAATGAAAAAATAGTTACGTCAGAATGTGACCTAATTGAGAGGTCATCGGTTATCCAATCAAATTGTTAGAATCTCAGGTCAAGTCGTTACGACACAGGTCAACGCGATACGACACTCGTGTGACGTACGAGATTAGTATGCAACTACCCATACGTTGACCACGTAGGTAATAAATCTTAATATCTCAAGGGGGAAGTACCAAGAGTAGCAGTGCTTGGTTATTTGTGTCGTGTGCATAGATCTCAGGTCACAATTCAATTGAAGTTAAGCAACGTTGGCCACGTAGATTACTTGGATAGGTTTGGCTAATTAGGAGATAAACGTACTGTGTTTGGAAATTAGATGAGTGTTAGACCGAATTGATAGTCTCTAAATTTCATTTGAAGCGAGCGGCTTCAAATGATTAATTTGCGCAGTAAAGCGCCGTGAAATCAGATGCATTTTCAATCCAAATTGATACCGTCTGATTTTATGGATTGACCAATCAAATTCGAGCATTCCATGTAGCCATGGTAGAATACCCCTTGACACCTGAGAGTTTCTAGGGCTTCTTCTGTCCTGCCCCACAACGAAGCAAACGTGATACATGTGAGTTTATTCAAAATTCTTTCTTTTCATCCAAATTCTTTCTGTTCATCCAGCTGAAAATGTGTGCCCGGTGGGATAAGTCATATGACTGTTAACCTTCTAGCGCCTCACAGGCAGCTTGGGTTGTCCGGAGTTCAGACATTATGCTGTATGCTGTATAGTCGAGTTCAGCGCTATATAAGTGGCTTTATTATTATCAGGGTGAGATTGAAACAACTTATATAATTAAAAAGGATCAATGTGTAGGTGCAACTGTTTGGTGAACCACTGTTTGGAGCCGAATGCAGTTTCAAATGAACTCATACTTCTGAACATAATCACAGTATAACGTTTATCCGATAAAAAACAAAATCTAACTATGTGAATCCACATAGCCATTACATACCAAATATCTGCACTTCACACAAAGTAAGATATTTCGTTAAACCAGGTATCCGTATAGTGACTGTGGTTCCTGTCAGTGGCTTGCGGCAGGTGACATTAGCTATAGGTGGAGGATGTTCAGTGGATGACCAGTTGTAGCACATCTGGTTTCCAACAAATATCTCCATGCCATCGCTTCTCTCCTGAACTGAGCACAAATAAATGTGAAATATGATAGGTATCAACCATGGCGGATGTGTTTCCAATGTTAGATAGATAATATAGATGACGTGCTGTGAAAGATATAAACACACTCTTTTGTTCATATTATATCATTCAAGCTGTCAGGGCACTGACGTTTAACCTAACATACGCAGAAAAACGAATCGGATCAAATATTATCTCTAATTCCAAATGATAGTTTTATGATAAGATTTTTCAGTGGTTACTTCTATGTGGCATTATTCATGCACTGCAGTATCAATATCGCTAAACCTGACATGCATTTTTGTTCGAAACCACATTTGATGAGGACATGTATCAAGTGATGACAAACATACACCTGTACACTCACTCACTCACTTAAATACATACGTTTACGTTTCAGAGCATGCGGTTAATAGTCCTAAGTCTAAGAATGCCTAAATGACACTGATATTGATCTCTGTTACTTTACAGGCCGGGTATATTTGCATCAACACTTCTCTTCAACATTTGCTACAGCTGAAATTGTAAATTGATGATGGAGATTTCTGCATTTCTGACTGAATAAGAGTGCCATATTACCTACATTGCTTGCTACAATGAATGGAACAGTTATATGGATACAAAATATTGTGTTTTTACATATAAGTGATCTCCGTTAATGTTGTTGAACGTAACCATTTGTGAATTGATCATAATATTGATTTTTTTATGAGGGAAACTCCTGGATTTATTTCTAGGTGCAAGGATACACTGAATTTTTCGTCGGTCCTTAAAAAAACATTCGACCTCAGAATCCGAACTAATGTTATCAGGGAGTGCTTGCATTTAATTACGGGATAAACAGGCTAAAAGTCACAATGATACACAGCGTTATAAGAGGCTATCGTTAAAAAACATGATCATTTATCACACGGTTCCAAAAAGCAAACTGAAGCGTTACTTAGATATCAAGGTTAATACTGTGCTCATGAGAAACAAAATGTGTTCAAAGTTTATTTCAGATATCCAGATGTACTTTGAATAATTATTCAAAGTACATCGTTTTCATATATACTCCCCATCAAAAGTTTTGACTCACTAGTGTACATGTAGCCACTTACTTCAGGCAACTGTTCTAAACCAAATTTTGCAAAATATTCCATACTGTTTAAAGGTGCTGTTTATACATGAACTGATGTACTGTAAAACAAATTCATAACGTTGAAAAGATTATTGTTATGCGTTTAATAAATGATGAAACTCGGTTAAAAATGTCGTGTTCTATTACTTATCACTGGAAATGATGTTTAAGAAACTGATGTCGTTCTTGACTAACAACATTCGTTACTCAGCTGATGTGAAACAGTTGGTTTTCTCATGGTGTAATATATCGTTCAGTGTGAGGCAGAACGTGGAATACTATTTTATGCAATTAATACATCGTGTCGTAATTAATATTTTTTTAAAAGGCGACAGAACAGCCCGTACAGTTCTGGTGACTCAATACCTTGTTCGATGGAATTTTAGATGAACATAATACATGTATGACTCTTGCAAAGTAACCCATTTTTGTGTAAGAACTCCTCAACAATCTCTCACACATTTGATTTGATAACATATATTCTGGTTCAGTAATATTCTATTCAGTCAATTTTCGTGGGTTTCGGACTTGTATAATTTTAGGTTGTCACTTAAAAGGGGAAATTCCCTCGATGTTTAAAATACACCCTTTTTGCTGTGAAGGATGTTGTCACCCTTACATCTCCTCTTGAAACATGTGTACTCACGTATGTCACGGATATAGAGTCTGATGTGTTGTATCTTCTCTGGAACTGAAGTGTTCAGGTTCACAGTCCAGGTGGGATTTGTCTCTTGTTGGGTATGAGCACATGTCCGTGGCGTGCTCGTGACACTTGTGGTGGCTATGCCGTCTACACCCAATGCTGCTTCAAAAAAATCCGTACGATCGCCTAAAGTGCTACTCTGGCTGCTAGATCTCCGCAAAGCAATGTTTTCTGAAGTATAGATACATAATCAGCATAACAAATATCGGTTATGTGTACTCATGATATTACATCAACCAATTAAAATCACACTCACGTTTCTGACAGTAGGAACCGAACCATCCTTCCTGACATCTGTCTGGATCACCGACCTGGCTACAGGGAGTAGATGGGAACACGGCACAGGCAGCTGCAGTGTGACAGTGACACGCAGCTTCTGTTTGAAACGAGATACCTTAACTCGACTGAAAGTGATCCTACGTATACATACGGTCCAACAAGTATATCAGATAGTTACATTTTTACATTCTGTGAATATTAAGTGAGTTAATAGAAGATCATAGATTTAGATATAGAACTAGTTTGTAAATGTAAAACGTTCTTTAAACAATGTAATATAAAACAGGCTATAGATCGCCAACAACTGAAGGTAGATCACCTCACTGGGGACCATGGGGAGCGACAGTGCTTTTGCTAAGTGCATGGACCCTAGCTTGATTTACATCATCCCTTCAGTAGTTGGCGATTTTATTCCCTTTTAGCCAGAATTGAAAGAACACATATTCTACGATTAAAAACATCTTTGAATGAAAACGGACTTACATACACTCTCGGGGGCAAACATTTTACGCTACCTCAAACCTCTTTGAAGGAATTGCCACTCACAAAGTCATTAAGTCATTCTAACAAATTAAAATTCCTTTATTAATTACAGAGCAAAATAAAGTTTGATCACTTAAATCAATTTCTTTTAATAGATCAATAATTAAATGAACATGCCCATTGTTTAAAGTACTATCATCATTTTAACATTGTAATAGTTATAAATACATTTTAAGAATAAAGTCCTTACCAATGAGAGCTTCAGAGACACAGACCACAAGCAGTCCTATCCAGAACCAACCCATGCCGTGTAACTAAATGAAAACGAACAGTCGTCATGTAAACAGAGCCGGATTTGTTGTATCCTTTCCGTTGGATTAGATCAAGCTTAATATCCATGCCACATACAGACACAGACATACGAGTATGTCATATTATTCTTATTGTATGTTATGTGGACTCATTGTGTCTGCCTAATACCAGTGGAATCATTTAAATTTGCAGCGAGTCTATAAATTATAACTTTTCAGGCGATTCGTCAAAGCGGAAGCAAACAATTTACATCAACGCCGAGTTTAATTTGTATCAAATATACAGTACACTGTGTACCTGTTGGAACTATTCAGTGGCGGGCACCTTCTCTGCCCTTGTCGATTGCAGTATATTCAACCTTTCAGGTTTGTAAATCAAGACTATGTGGTGGTATGACCTCTGTTGAATGATGTGAAAACACGATGTTCCGGGGAAAAAACAAAGAAAGGCATTTTCCCTCAAAGGCCGATTTGAACGCTAACGGAATGAAGCTACATCAGGGATCCAATAACCCCTGATGGTTGTTAAATCCTACAAACTAAATGAGTTTCATGATCGTCATATCTCAATTCGCCCAAAGGAATACCCATAATTTCAATCACTAGATTGTCTGGTCGAGAGTGCTTCGTTTATAGACCACTGTAGTACTACTACTGGAACATTGCTGACTGCATTTTTAACAATGAACAAGCAGTATCCTTGGAGAAAAACAATTAGACCCATTCATTTCCCTGATATCCCCCAACGACGAACTAACATAGCGACAGCTGCTCCAAAGACGTGTTGGAATTGACCGATGTTTTAGTTAATTAATACAATTTGAAGTGTTGAGTTGAGTTTCCGAATTTGCTTGAATTTCCTGGTCTTTTTCAGGTGTTTGTGGGCTGCTGGAACGATGTTTTCACGAGTGTTCAGTTAAATGAAGAACAAAATAATTGTTCAGTGATACCTTTACAACGCAGAAACACCATTTAGCATCGAACATATAAAGCTTTCGCCAGTGAAAATACATCCATTTGTTTTCATCATTCACCGTGATTAACACAAATGAATATATTATTTAAACATAGATGATGTTAATTTCGTTATTCATCATTATTATATCAGATCATCGGCAACAAACATACCTGTTAATATATATTTTAGGAATGACAGGATTCTACACTCTTTTCTTGAATTTATGGTGTTGTTTATAGTTTTCAGATATATTCAAATTATTTTCACTTAAATATTCACTTTCACTAATATTTGGCAGTATTTAGCAATGCATCTTGCAAAATATATGTTCCGAAAACATGTGATAAATACTTTCAGAATCTCCTTAAAAGAACGGTTAATACTATGACTGGGACATACCTCGCAGAAACTCTCCTGCTTCTACTTTTTCAGATGGACTTGTACTGAAACCGTACACATGCTTGATGGAATACTAATTTAACTTTGGACCATGCATTGTAAAGATCAACATGGGTACATGGTGCACGTGTATTTTTATCGTTAGAATTCCTTTTTCTGAAAATGTCACGTATACCTAATTGATATAGACTCAAAACATCTCCAGATATTTTCACCAAAAAAATTTGTTTTCATTAGAGGATGTGTTTTACGTTCGACTAGAAACTCGATTCGCGAATATGATTCACTTTGGTTTTGCAGAGCTCCGTATTTCTCCTGAACGAACATGACTAATTCTGACAAATATTTACTAGTGTAAACTTAATTACCGAGAAATTGATCAAGGTAACGTGAAAGTACTCAGAATATCGACAGAATAACTGGAATAAATAATAGATGGTCGAAGCAACAAGTAAATGTTGGAAATATTAAATAAAATAGCGATTACAATTTATTGTATGCTCCAAACGTGGCATTAATCTTTTGTATAAATGCTGGACCGAGGGCGTAAAGGTCAAGGTTCTCTGCACAGGGACCGTCGCAATATTGTATTTCCTTCCTATGTCGCCCTGTCTGAGCAATAACAAGACACGTCAGTGCAGCGTAAGACTAAACACAGGGCTCTGTTGAGGGTTTACAAAGTGCAAATTGTATGTGCAGTACATGTTCAGTGGAGTATTCATACACTTTAGACCTTGTCCGTATTTGTGTGTCGAGTTTCATGAAATTGATTCTGAGTTCACGAACAGAGACGACAAGGTACGTGAAGTTATAATACAACCCTGTAATGTCAACAATATGCCGTGATCAACAATGTGATTATGTGGGACTAGCTGTATAGCTAACGACGATATGAATATGATTATCATCTAGCTATGACATTTTAACTACATGTAAACTGGAAACAGTTATTATGTCATTCATATGTAATTATTCGTATATATTCAATGAATCACAGTCACATTATTAAAGTCAGTACTCACTACACACAGGACCATTCCGCATCAAGCCCCATCACACTGCACATATCGGCAACCAGGAAGAAGATAACATGTATGTCAGATCAGGTCACGTGATATATACATCGGCGTTCTTTTTCGAACACTGAAGGTGGCGCAGCTTAACATGCATTGGGATTGAAATTGTAGAGGTTTAATGGAGAATACGAATGAATTGCAATAATTTGCTGGGTGAAAGATAAAGTCATCAGAAACATATTCCCAAATTTTCAATTAAAACTTTTGTATAATTATGTTTTAATCGCGAAAAAAGTTTCTGTAAATCTCAGCTTCGGCATTTATTCATATTTCGCTGGAGCCCACGTGACCTTTCCGCTCGTGACGTCAAATGTGCCTGGAGTCCGCCATATTGCCAAAGACCAAGCGCTACAGTAGTACAAATCGTGTTGTTTCTGTCGTTTTTGTAAATGGTACGATGGTGTATTCTGTTGCCTGGGGATGCACGGAATCATCGAACAATGGGAAGCCACCATTTCTTCCGTTTTCTAAGTAAAGAGACAGAATTAGGCAGGAGAAATGGTCCGATCATTCCGAGTCGGACGCATATGAAAGAGACAAGCACACATGGGGCATACAAATCCCAAAGCTAGGCTGAAGAAGGAAGAATTACCCACGAGATTCATTTATACTCCATCATTCCCTGTTACAGCTTAATGTCAGTGGTATTTTTAACATAAATTAATTCAAGTACGATTGCCAGTCGAATTGCCCCCGCTGCAAATTGCCCCAGCACATTTGGTCAAATTACCCCGGAGGTTTGGTCAAATAGCCCCAGGGGGGTAATTAAAATGCCCAATTTATTTAAAATGATTAAATATAGGCCATAAATGCATAATTTTGTCAACTTTGATATTATGTTCTTCATATAAAAGAATTTATAAAGTAATGAGTTTACCGATGGAACATTTATCAGAAATATTACTTCTTAATATTAACTTTTATATGAAGATAATAATATCAAAGTTGACAAAAACTATGCATTTACGGCATATATTTAATCATTTTAAATAAATTTGACAAAATTAGAATGAATGACCAAATTTGCGGGGGCATTTTGTAGCGGGGGCAGTTCCACTGGTACCCATGAGATAGATATCAAAATCAGTAAGAGATTTCACATGAGCTTGAAAATGTTTCGCTATGACGTTCTTTTCGGTTTAGAGCCCTAAATGCTGCAGACTACCCGAAACATTGCCGAATACAACGGCAAATCTTGAAGTACTTGTTGCTTTCATTGTTTTCCATTTTGTCCAATTACGCACGTCGGCATCAGACTCGCTATTTGTCAGTAGTGTGTGCCGTGAAAGTTGTTCTGTGTTCACATTGGCTGACAAGATGCCATTCTAAGGCTATGGCCGAGTGCCATAACTATTTCCATAACCAAACACTGGGGAAACATACATTGTCCTGACAAGTATTTAATAATTCACCAGTTTTCGGGGAATAACTTATCTGCGTCGGGAATATTATCTCTCCTCGACCAGGCTGGGATTTTGTGTGGAGACTTGCTACGTTATTAATGAGAACTAGGATCCTAAATTGTTTTCAACAAAATAACTCCAGTGTAATTTTTGTAGCAGATAATTTCTATTTCCCCCGTCTGAAGCATAATTATTGTGTTTTTAAATCCCAGACACCCTACAGTCACCCATTTGACACAAAAGGAACTGCAATCACATTGCTAAAAATATAATTCTTAGGGACTGGTCATATACTTATAGGGGTGGGTTTGCTGGTTGGAACTGTATCACATTTTGCTGTCAAATAGTATTGTTGTTAAATGATATGGTATATTTTAAAATTTTTAATGTATTTTGAACTCAAGCGGTGCCTCCGTTTCACTTGATTCTTCTTCTTCATCTTCACTGGAAGATTGTCTTGCAAGATGTAAAATCGGATCGTATTGATAGGGTCTAACATCCATTTCAGAAATGACACCAGGAACACCTTTTACTGCTCCTGAATCGATGGACGCTGTTAAGTTGTGCGGTAAAATCAAAGCGGCAGCCATCAGCAATAGGCACATGTGACGTCATGTCACGTGATACCCCCTCTGCTCATTAACTGTCGGATGTTTCCGTAAAAGGCGGAAATACGAGTACGTATTTTGTGTTTTTATTGCTATTTTGCAAACTTTTTCTCCAATTTTAATAACGGAAGGTGACTTTTATAATATCCTTTACAATATATCAAAAGTTTTGTTTTCGTTCGGCTCGAGTATAGAAGGAACAAATATGAGGCACCTGTCTCTCCTATTTCGAACGTACAGTGGGACCCTGGGTCTGACATATTGAAGTTCTGTGTTGTGTGAAATTCTACCCATATATAATGTATGCAAACACACTGACCCGCTAATACTGTGAGTGTTCAAAGCAATGTAAACGTATTGCCATTGACACTAAATATAACATTCAAATGTTGACATGGAAAGTTTACCTCCATCCTTTCCAACAACTGATTTCGGATAGACGTTTTATTGAATTCGCCAATATCAAACCAGTAAACACTGATATCACGTAGAATTCTCTTCAATGGCATTTGGTTTGCAGATAATGCCAGACAAATACCTGTCGTAGGCTGAAGTTATGCATACACCCTTGTGTCGATTTTTTGGTTGTCCCGAGCCCCTGTGTATTCTTGCTTTAGTAATCGTTTAAAGGTTGAAGTTTTTGAAAGGCATTTAGAAGTTGGACAAACATGAATACATGACACTTTTATGGATAACAACTTCTTTTTATTCTTTACACGACGTTACACGGCTAATTCTTGCTCCTTCATCAGGTGAATACTGAGTCAGTACAGAGAGTGAATATATATAGATAAAACATGTTTACACAATGCAAGGTTGTGTCGAAGCTCGGATATCTTAAGGTATACATGTAAATTGCTTCGTCACGAAGATGCTTGACTTATGTTGAAATAACAAATAAAACATTTATCGAAATATTCATTCAGTGTTACAACCTCAAATGGATTAACTTTGCTATTGCTATATCAGTAACACATTTCTAATGATTCATTTCAAGTCCCTGGTTTTCTTTTAAGCTATTAATATATTTTTCCTGTCTTTTGAAAACACAATGACTACGTGAGAGCATTGTCTTTACAAGGTACAAAATCCTTTCCTATATCCATACGAACATATTTTATAAAAATGCTATATCGCGATCGTGTGTCTATGGATGAGTGAGTGGTCCAGTTAAGAAAAACTCCCAACTTTCTAAAACACTTGTTCCTTTAAGATTAAATTATACTTTACATGTATGTGTTAATTGTTATCATTGATGTCGACTACTCTGTATAACTTGTCGAAGGTATAATCCCTTATACAACTAGGCATATCCTTTCCTGCAATGGTTAATTCTAGTATGAGGCGAATAGGTTAGTCACACAGGGAGCTAAGTACACAGAATGACACTGTTACACGTTCACACTCTACCTACTGGTGAGCTTGATTTATATGCGATGCAACTGAACGTTGTTTAACTTCCTCAATTTTCTATTATCAGGAAAGATGAATTTGAAACATTGAGCCTACAATACCCGATATGTGCATGATGTAAATACCTGTATGATATTGTAGAAATGGTTTATATAACTCACATAAACGTGACATAAACACGTAATGTGAATGTGTATAGCTAGCTGTGTATTCACCCATCCTCCAATGGAGGATAAATGTATTCCCATTAGTATTTATAAACGTACAGTCAAATTTAAAACACTGTTGTATCGAAGTTGTAAGGTCCTGTTTAAATACTTCGAGTTATCCCAAACCAAGTTTTACCACGTATGTCGTGTGTCCATAACTTTCCTTTCCTTTGCCCAATCACGTATGCACTCCATTGTAACACCTTTATGTAATGTTGTGTAAAGAACCACAGACACACTTTCAAGTCAAATCGGTCCGCTATTGAAATTCGTTTGCAATACAGAAATTCTTTGAGCAGATGGTAGAACATGTATCACAATCAACAACGTATTGCATTTAAACAGACGAGGATTGAAAGAGGTATTCATTGAACTGGTCCAGGGTATATGACGAATACGTGTAACCCATTTCTACATCCTATCACAACAGATTCAAGCTGTATTTTCAAGTTAGATCTTTAACGAAAGGTGTGCATATTAAAAAGTAGTTATACGTTATTTCTACTTAGGAAGTATACCGTGGGCGTTGGGCAGTGTGTGTCTGAACAAGGTGTAGTGAAATATTTACATTCGCTGTGCATTAAGCACGACAGTCTGTTGGTATACATAGTCCATGGTTTTACATGTAATACAGGTTGTGGTTTGATGGTTCATAACCTGCATTAGGAATAGACGTTGTATTTAGCGATCCTTATCATACAATGTCATTCTTACTTTATATTTATTTTTTAAAAGCGATTTCAATTGCTACAAATCATGAAACTAAACTTCGTAAAATCTGCACAGATTATATATGGCGTCACAAATATGTGCGTAGTAGTAATACGTTACGTCTTAAGCTCGGCGACATAATGTTCTACTGATCACTCAATTGACTGCGTTAACTTATCAAGGTGAACTGTTGTTGCTGTCTTCGTAAGACTATGAATATCTATCTTTGCTTCGTACTTCACTCCATATATCATTACAGGGCATGAATTTTCTTGGATCAAAGCGCTGACAGTACCGTAACAAAGGCCGTCAATCCGGACACGATCGCCGATGGATGGACGTGACGCCATGTTCTTTACACAGTATTCCCTAAAATTCCCTAAAATTTGCGTATCACCTCTCTAATTTGCATCGATATCAGTATATGACCCCAAAGGATACCGAAAATATCCGTTGGCTTTATCATGCCGAGAACGCTATCCACTGTGTGATAAGTATACAAATATAACAATTACCTAAAAGTCTAGCCGACATCAAATTTAGTTTCCTTGGTTCCACACATGAAAGAAACACAAGAGAAACGGTACAGTTGAAAGCTACATATTACAATTGTTTTGAAGAAATGATTTCAAAGAGTTCCAAGAATACGATTTCCATAGAGTGGAAAAGCACATGTAGCATTGTGTGGTGATCATCTAGTTTTATCTATTGGTAACACGATAATAAAATGGCATTTTCACCCAAGTGTGAATCACATGAGGACCTGTCACTCATATACGCACACATCAGAGCAAAATAAAGAAAATTTTCTCCTCATAACTCTCACATATACAGATCCCAGTTGTTCAATACATTGCCTAAACAGCAATACAGTATAGGCTACCAGGGTGAGTGAGTGAGTTAATATTTAACGTCAACATCGGCAATATTTCAGCAATATCCTGACGAAAACTATTCATACAATGAAAAATGAAAACATTTTGAAGAATAAAACCTGTCGACGATGGGCAGTAAAATACTAGAATATGACATATATGAACATAAAACTAGCATGTAAAACTAAAAGATTGTAATTAAAGAAGACAATACAATATAAAAACACGGGCTATAGATCGCCAACAACAGAAGGTAGATCACCATACAAGGAACCATTGGGGACTTACATTACTTTTTGCTACCTGCATGGACCCTAGCTGGATTTACACACTCTCTTCAGCCGCTGGCGATGTCGGAAGATTTAGCCGAACGAAATTAGTCCGAAATTGTCTTTGAAAGTGTTTGGGACTTACGTACCCTCGGGAGGACATAGGCTACCAGGAAGTAAGATTTATGAATCACATAGGGACACCATGATCGAGAGATACTACCACTTGCCCGTGCATACTCCAGGCAAACGTGTGGTTTAGGGATGATTGTAAAGAGAGGTTATCCTCTGTCATAGATCTTCCTAATATGAAAGGTATATAATAATGCATCCGCTTTAAAGACACGGTAAAGTAAGTTATCACACCCATTTCTTCCGGAGTTTTCTGTTTCATCTACCTACTTTATGTCCTTAAAGCATTTTATGTCATTTTAGATTTAGTTCAATTGCAATTATCCTTTATTCCTATTCTTTTGTAATATCGAACTGAACAGAGGTGGCTGCGCGTGCACCAGTAATCCTCATCAAGGTATTTACAGCGTCAGACATGGTATTTCAAGGGTTTAAACATTTATAAATTCCTTTCCAATTTCGCTTATTGGTAAGGAAAGTTGTAGACGTCATAGCTGAGGGTTCGTGATCACACATTTGAACAAGACTGTATGACAGTGCCCAATTGCGCAGATCAATGCTCATGCTGTTGATCACTGGATTGTCTGACCCAGACTCGATTATTTACAGACCGCCGCCATATAGCTGGAATATTGCTGAGTGTGGCGCAAAACTAAACTCACTCACTCACTATATGACAGTGCAACCTTTTGAGAAATAAATAGCCATGTCTGAATACCGCCCCCTTTTAAGTTTAAACGAAAACACGGAAGGTCGCGGGTTCGATCCCCGACCGCTTCATAGTAAAAGACGTTAAAATATGGTACTTGTTGGTCCCTGCCTGACACATCGGAATTAATGGGTACAACAAGGACTGGTCGGCTCGGAGTCAGTATAATGTGTCTGAGTGGGGTATTCATGCTTCACTGCAGTGTGGTATCTTGGGCTAGCACTATAAAACCAGCCTGCTACAAGCAGTCGCACATACACACGCATGCACGTCGTCATATGAGCGAAATATTCTCAGAAGCACGACGCTAAACCCAATTTCCCCTCACCTCACCTTAAACGAAAACAACAAAGTTCTTAAATTAATTTTTTATCAAAGTGAGATATGCGTTGATACCAAATCTAGAAGCTACAAATCTAGACTGAAAACAATATTAAAGGAACATAGTTGAAAATGTACAAAAGCAAGTAAATACATCATATTGAAACCAAGTAAATTTCTTAAATTAACTTTTGTTGACGTATTTAATATAAAATAGACAATGATATAAAATACACAGATGGCCAAGGATTAACCACAACACGGGGACACCGTGCGTGTAATATATACATTGTGAGTCACGTCATTAATCATAATATAGGTGTATAAAGTCCTTGATATATTGATAAAAAAAATATTTGAAATGGCGTGATTATTCTGAATATTACGCATTTACAGTTTCCATGCTGAGAGTTCAATACACTTAGGTTTCATAAATCATTGCAGGGGTCAGTGCATCATAAATAGTAGTAGTTATGGAAATGAACACATACAATCTTGCAAATTAAGTAATGTGTACGAACGAGCAAACGAATGTTGTTGTCGAAAATGATGACGATGTTGACTTCCTATATGCATTTTGGGTGTATATTTGACATGCCTCCAGCAACTTCTCACACTATATATATGCCGATGCGACGTTAATTTTCAAATCACTATCTGCATTCCCTCATAGCATTGAATTAAAAGCAAAATCATCTCTCAGTTTATCTCAAATCTAAAATAGACCAAAATTGTTAACACTGCAAGTAAAATCGCTGGAGTCAGATTTGAATGTTTATCATCAATATATGAGCGGCAAATCGTGAATTAAGCTGTCAAAATTATATCTGACCCTACTCACTACTTAAATTCGGAATACAACCTTCTCCCTTCAGGCCGCCGCTGCAAAGTTCCAAACGTGAAAACTAAGAGAGCCCGTACAGCCTTTATTCCAAGTACCATATCTCTATATGTGAAGATACCTAAATCAATGAATATATGTAAATATGTTTTGTATCTCTCTCTGATGTGCCAGTAGCTCTGCTGATGTAACACAAATTCCTGAAAAGGCATTAAAGTATTATTCTATTCTATTCTATTCTATTCTATTCTAAAACACTCTAGAAATGCCTACATGTCAGCAAATTGTGCACGAAAATTCGTCCAATGGGGAGCATGAGAGTTTCCAAGATTAATACAAGAAACGAAGATCATTTAATCACTATCCTTGAAGAAGATCACAGTGTAAATTGCGTTGCTTTTTCATTACATATTGGCGTAGATGTTGGAAGCACGGTTAGATTCCTTCACTACGTCGTAGCACAGCTTGAACTGATCCTGCAAATAACAGACATCGTTAGTCATGTGTCCGATGACATCGGTAGATATTGAATCCAGATATTATCATTTTCTTCGTCGGTGATACAGTTTATCTATTCCATATATACATTATACACCATTCATTCAACCGTTGTCGATTTGATTGACCTTAGCCATTATTTAAAATAACAAATAACAGTTTGGTAAAATTAAATTTACCTCGAATGTTTTGGATCTTACGTGCTCTCTCAGGAGGACTATAATTTTACGATACTGTGACCCCCTTTCAGGATAGAGCCATTAAACCAATCATGTGAATTTTACGTGGAATAAATAGTTCTAGTACTCACGAAGGACTGTATAAACTGTGGTCTGACACGCTGCAGTTCCTTGATGGTGAGGAAGATGTCCACGTATCTGTCCAGCCGCAGTCTGCTGATGATGTTCAGGGCACTGCAGAACACCCCGCTCATTCCAGCACCGTCACTGGTCGATAGAAACCATCATGCTATTCACATAACACACAATACACACCCTTACCATTCAACATATCTCTATTTCAACTCATCCTGAACTACTATTAATGTTCTTGCAAGGTTTTCTCTTTTATAAATACTTCATGAATGTTTAAAAGGTGAACATCAATCTGTTTGTGAATGGTTGATTTTCTTTTAGGTCTTATACCAGCGAGAGGGAAACCAAAGAGAGTCCAGATTACACTGCAGGAAATGAATATGTCTCCTGCAATATATGCACTAGTCTTACAACCTCCTTTTCTACACATATACAAAGAAAATGGTCATCGTCTTCAATTACATTCAGATTACACATTTTGCATATCCTATGTTCCTTTATTAAGCCTAAATACCTACCAGATTCTATAAGTTATTTAATATAATATATTGATATTAATTAGAATATCTAAGATACAATTTAAAACTAGTTCATAGAATTTACAAGAAAACCACATTAATCAACAACACGATATAAAATAGTTATAGATCGCCAGTACCTATAGATCGCCAGTTAGATCACCATGCTAGGGACCATGGGGAAAATTTAAATGAAAGAATTTGCTGTATTTAAATGTCAGCCATGCGAATAAATACTTCAAAGCATGTGGAACTTACATACCCTCTTAAAGCGACAATTGTTTTACGCTACTTCATCCCCCCCTCGAGGTGTACAGCCACTAAGAATCTTGGTTATTTCTAAGCACTACCAATTTAGAATCAATTCAACCTCCTTAAAGAATCCAAGAATTAAGCGAGAGCTTGGAAATATATACCCCCCTTAACGTAATGTGTTCGATGCATTGTGTATAGTGTATTAACGATAGGAGTCCTTTACATTGCACATTTTTAATTGTATTGCACAAGGGAATGGCGTTTTTGATAATGCATACTGGCAGTGGATGAGGATCTTATGGTCACCAGAGCTGAAAATAACGTCCGCCATGTTGATCAGCTCAAGGAGTGAGGCACTACTCTCTATCACGTCCGTTGACCGGAGAGAGACCACTGTGACTGACTGCTCGGTGTCCTGAACAAAGACAGAAACACTGTAAATGTATGAGCGTTTGTCCATGAAAGGTGTACCTCCAGTCAACATCACCATACAAATAGCATCGTGTTCCCAACTTTCTTAACATTTTGATATATCTTGTTGCAACTTGATACAACGTTGGTGAAATGGAGATAGTAGTACATTATGTAGCCAAAGATGATTACTTTTCAAGGAATGGAGAGTTACCAGAAAACTCCCCAACTTAAAATGCATCCCTACTCTTACAATGTGCAACAAAGACAGCGAACAACCAAATATATGTTCTTGAAAAGTAGAGGAGCACCCAAACAATAGCTTGACGTCACATGTGTGATTTAAAGTAATTTACAAATACATTGCGCCATTACGAGAATCCTGCATGCTAGTCTACCTGAACTGATTGCTTGAAAATAAGGAGAGAACAAACCTCCTTGTCATACACAAGCGTTAACTTTCTCTCAGTAAAGAATGCTCCGTTTGAAACGGTTTCCACGTGTATTACACTGAATGGTCCAGTTCGTAGCGTGTTGTTGTCTTTAGGGTAGAGCTCCTCTGTCTCCTGGATTGAAATAATGGGAATACTATTTTACGTGAATTCTTTAAAACAAAACATAGCATATAGAATCATCCTTTCTTATCATATTTGCATATAGGTTTTGTGGACACACACAAACGCTTAGCGTCATTCATATCAGAATGTAGAAACACAATCTCCAATATATTTACCTGAGAGTCATCTAGACAGACAACTGTGAAGCAGTCATGGTCGTACACCAGTCTCCAGAAGTCTACCACAGTGTGTGGTAGCGGGGTCTGGGTGACTATCAGGTTCGATAGTTGAAGAATTGACTAAAGCATTAAGAAGAACCCAATCGTATACATTGACTAATATCTAATGACGATGCCATTTTGGTATTACGTTGTCTTTAGTTAAGGTGTGGATGGTTCAAAGTCACATGTCATCAGAAGGCTTAAAATTATCATATTTAAATTAAGTTGTCATTCATTTGTGGTCGTGCAGTTAAATCTAAAATCACATATTTGCTAACCAACATACCGACAGAAACACTGCATTGATGTAGTCATTCCGACCCGGGACTGGAGTACACAGGTAGGGCCTGGATTTGTTTCCTGGAACAATACACCACGTGGTGATTCATTTTCATGTCAAAAAGTGTCTGATAGGATCAGTATAAAACAAAAGGATGAATTAGATTGCCATGTACTTTCGGGTTGCTGAGAAGTTTTAGAATACATATGTTTTACGGATTTTATACCGGGAAGAACATGCTGGTTTCTGTTTTTGGATGTGTTCTCTGGAAGCACTGCCTCTGAAGTTACAGCTTCTTCAAGGTCAGATGCTGGTTCTTGGAGTAACTAAAAGATCATAGATATTGATGCTATCTCTGTGTTTTGTGGTTATCACATGAAATGAAAACAATTGCAAAACAGAAAACGTATTTAACAGACAGGTAACAAAGATTTCACATCCACATACTTTAAATTGCTCTTTCAGCATATCCACTTGGGGTGTTGTAAACGTTTCTCCAGCGCCAAACGCTCTGTCAAACTCAGACGAAGTGTACAGTGTTCCTCGACTATTGAGAGCCTCCAGGACCACGTCATGCACAAACTCGTACTGTTTCTGAATGGAACACACACATTATTACAACACACATTGAAATCCCTAAATGATGCGATTCTTAGATACAATTCAATATACACAATGTCAGCAAGTAAACATAAACATAGAGATTTCAGTTTCAAAAGACTCAATCAAACTTTATATGTTTAAGGAAGGTATCCTTGGCGGAATGATTCTTTAGCTTCAACCAAATCTCTGAAGTAAAAGCACCCAAAACTTTAAGTAGTGTGGTATTTGGAAGGTCGGAGACTCTACTGAATCAAGCACTCACCACAGTCTGCACCATATTCATCCTGTTTTGTCTCATCTTGCTGACGCACATGAACACGTTGACGTGGTTACTCTTAGCTTCATCCATCAGGTAGTCCAGAGAAATGAATGCTCCTGTTCGGCCAACTCCAGCACTGAACATATGAATAGCAGTGGTTGGAAAACTATGTTTTCGGAATCTTAGCATGATAATGTTCTCTGTTGGTTCCGACACACTCATCGCCTCTATTATGGAATCACACGTTCCTGTTCACAGGCGGTGTACGTTCGTGGATCTTCTGTATACAAATCAGTTGATTTGTTAATCTCTTTAAGGCCGGGAGACCCATATGGGCTTAAAGTCCATTCAGGTGTGAACAGCTCATACTTTACGTGTATCACCTCTACGCATACACTCTGGCCTCTAGTTAATACATATATATCTAACACACATGAATAACATTTAGATCATACATGTGGTGACTTCTACATGTCAGTTACCTGCAGTGCACCACTATGGGTCCCCTGCCCATGGCCCCCTGTTTGACCAGTCTCCAGAAGTTGACGAGCGCAGGAGCAGAAGGAACATCATGGTCAGGCCAAGATGTGAAGTGGTAGTGCGTTACAGTTCTCTCACTACCCTGTAAACACCATACGCACAATACATAACAGTCGTATAACCGTATAAGACAGTATACTGACATCGATGGTTAAAATGTGGTCACAGGACGTTTTGACTTTATATATTTATACTTACCGCGTCTTCTACCAGAAACGTTGACACTGTGTAGTCAGCCCTAGCCTTTACGTTAATGTTTGTAACTTTAGAGCCTCCGTAGGTTTCAGACGTGCTTCCGTTAGGCCAGTATTGTGCACACTTTTTCTGGAAACATATACAAATGTGTACTTATGGGATGCAATCAATGTCAGCAGAATGTCTTGGTCCTTTTAACACAGGAATGTAATGGCCCTTGAACAAACCCTACCTTGTTCACCTCCATCAGCCTCGTCAGCATGACTATCTGTGTGACGTCCTCCTGCCACACCATCCGCCAGAAGTCAGTGACTGTTCCTAGCTTAGGTCCTTGGTGATAAACATTATTATTAAATTGTTCTTCAAGGTAATATATCGTATTATATTCTAAACTTTAATCGTATATGAATCCTTTGGTTAATAAAAGCATTTTAATGGAAGAATATGTCTCTCTTTATATGTAAAATGATATAGCTCATACCTGTGTTGCTATGTACTTTTGAGTATCACCATATCCCTGTAAACATGATAGTCAGGTTGAATTTGATATTTATTTATTCACATCTCGATAGTTTAACATGTAATATGTCTGGCTGCTAAATTCAGTCACTGACATACTATTTTCATTTTCGAACTCTCGAAATATTTAAAAAATCTATTAAATTGAAATTGACACGTGAGAATTATCTATCATGATTTCCATCGATGTGTTTAAGCATATGAAATACCCTTATCCTACTCACCATGATATAATTCGCATTAATGTAATCTTCTCCCTCCTCCAGCACAACCCACGAATCATCATCTGATCAAGTTAACTTAACGTCAACAATATTGGACCAAACTTACAGACATTTAGAAGGCAGAAATCCATGGGTTGGTTCCTTAGTTCTTAACAAGTTTAATAAAGGAATGTGCAACAGCGATATCAGTTGTAGCGAAGGCCGAGTAAAAGCTGAGTATAGACATAATTCAACAAAACAGTTTAGGGATTAGTATTATTATCGTTTAAGGCTGATGTGATAAATATTTTCAAAACACTAAAAGCTGGAAGTCACTCTTCCTCTAACCCTACCCAACCCTTTCAGTGGCTGTTTCAAACACTAATAATTTGATAAAGTTCTCGAAAATATATACCTGATTCCTGATTCATTTACATTATATGCCGTACACTCAAGTGTATGTTGAACAGTATGTGGTATAAGTGTCTCTGTTACCTTCATTTTCTTTGTTAAAAGTAATTAACATCACATGATCAGTGAATTTAACAATTCTTTAAACCAGTATCTGCACAAGTTTGCTTTTGGCAATATCCTTGTACATACCAAATGATATGTGTGATTTTCCGCGATTTATGAATACATAATGTTATCATTCTTAAATGCAAATAAGCATACCGTCCTGCTGTAGTATGTAATAGTGTAGAGTAATAATCAAAATACAACATGGCCATGTTTTACTTACACGCATATAGAGCCACAAAACGGTTCTTTGGCTTGTTCTCAGGTTTTATAGCAGCTTCATGTGGGTGTCGTGCACCGAATATAATCATCTGAGATATATATACATATTTACATGTATACACAAGAAAAGAGACGTAAGAACAATCAAACTGATTGGTGTTATGATAGTCCGATAAAACATAATAATATATCTTTTGTATTCTAGAGTATGTCGTTTTGCAGAGATACTTCTTTCATGTGTATATTTAATCCATCAAAAACAATGTCATTATAGTTACACTCATTACACTGCAAGGTAAATCTGTTCGTGTTTTCATCTGTCGTAAAAGTTTATCATAAAAGCTGAAAAACGTGTTTTTGTAATGTTGAAGTCTGAGCAATACATAACATTACTTTACTTAGTGTTTGATAATTTACTGTTAGCAGTGTTGACGTCAGGACGTTCTAGTTACGCAAGTCAAGTATGCAAGATGTTTGCAAGGACCCATTTGCAGGTTTGCGTTTATTTGTTTATGTGCTATTAAACGTAATACAAGATCAGTGTGAAAAATGGATGAAAAAGCTATCAATGCGGGAATATTACACACAATCTAATTTCAATTTCAGTGAAAGAATGATCGATACTTTTTTAACGTGGATAGGTGTCTCATGCTATACGTTCGGACATATTTCTAATTTACAAACCTCAAATTCGGTTTCAAATGAGGCTTTTTCCTTTTTCTCAGATATACACTGTTTCAGGTTATCCAGCCGCATCCGAGGTGGCACCCAGTTGTAGTAGGTGGCGGCAACATCATTGCCTCTGTCGACTTCAGCCTCAACAGAAAACACGGCATCCTCATCTTCTTCCATTGCAGGTGGAATGTGGGTGGGCTTACTCGTGGATGATTTATCTCCAGTGAAATGAATGTATTTTTTTCCTAGCGTCTCTGCCTCCAGAGAAGAAATTGAACAGTTTACTGACACACTTGGTTGATTTTCTGTACATAACGCCGCATGTAAAATATTCTAAAATGCACACTCACAGACCATTCGTAATCGGTTGCGGGCTGCAAATCTCCATTCTCAACGTCCATATCGTGGGCCAATATTGACGCCGTTTCATCAACGTCAACGTCTGCTGTGGGCCCAACGTCACCTCTGATGGCCCCAGAGAGACTGGAATCGAGTCGTCTTTAACGATGAATCCAGGTTTACCCTCAGATTCGCGGACGGCAGGCATAGAGTCTGAAGACGACGTCGTGAACGGTATGCCCAATGTTGTGTACAGGAAGTCGACAGATTCGGGGGCGGAAGTTGCATGGTTTGGGGTGCTTTCTGTGGGAACAACCGTTCCCTACTTCTGGTCATCCGTGGAAACCTCACACCTGCTGCTTACCGCGACCAGGTGCTCACCCCTGAACTCGTTCCTTTCATGGCGGGTCATGGCCCAGGTCTACAGTTCCAGCATGATTGGCCGCATACTGCGATGTTGACACGAAATTTCCTTCAAAACGCTGGAATCAACGTCATGGACTGGCCATCGAGGTCCCCTGACCTTAATCCAATAGAGCACGTTTGGGATGCACTTGGGAGAAGGCTTCGTGGTCTTAGGAACAAACCTCAGAATTTGCAGGAACTTGGCGCTGCCTTGCAAGAGCAATGGCGCAGAATCCCCAACCACGTGTTCACAAACATCAGGTAGTCGATGAGGAGACGGTGTTTGGCAGTGGTGAATGCGCGGGGCGGCCATACACGATATTGAACTGAGAAGTTTTGCATTTTTTTTCTTGTGACTTGACATTCTGTATACCCATGTTTTGGAACGGCGGTGTAGCCTAATGGAACTGATTATGGCACTGTCAGTGTATCGAGTACATCACACAGATCTCAGCAATGAAATAATAACAATTTAACCATCTTACCATCTCTTGTTCTTTTACAGTGCCCTGAAGAAAGAATGTGAAGTTTCTTTTTTGACTCAGTATATATCCCAAAAATATAGTATGACCAGAAATTATTGAGAATTTTAGGAATATGTTTAATTGGATTTCTAATATAAACAACCTTGACCAGCTATCAAGTGCTTGGTCTCATTCAAGAGAGACACCACCGTTAATCCTTTTTCATTAGTTTGTGAAGAGTTATCCCCCTTTGTTTACTTGCTAGCAGACTACATTTTCAGTGATCCTCAGTATGGATGATTTAGGGAAGAGGAAGTTGATTTAAGAGTATTATAACAAGGACATCAGATCAGCTAAATTGAGTTCAAGTAGAACAGGCATCCCTTTGTCCACTGTTTATCGTGTTTTGAAAAATATTGCAAATGGATATGGCATTGAGCACCAGGGAGGCGCAGGTAGGCCCAGAAAATTGACTGTCGGTGACAGGAGGCGGCTTGGTATTCTTGTTTCTAAAAACAAACGAAGGAGTTTAGAAAACCTAAGGCTGGATATGATTGATAGAGGAACTGTGGCTGTCTGTAAGGAGACAATCAGAACTGAGCTGCATGCAATGGGTTGGCAGAAAAGTCGAGGAATTCTATCACCAATCATGAAACCTGAACAAAAGGAGCGACGGTTGAACTGGTGCTTACAGCCTAGAAATGTTAACTGGGAAAAATGTGATTTTCTCAGATGAAAGTTTTGTGTGGCTGTTTCCTAATACACTGAAATTCTGGACCAAACAAACTGAAAAACCTCTGTATCAGCGCCCAAAGTACAGTCCGAAATTTAACGTGTGGGGTGGCATATCTGTGTTAGGGGCAACGCCCCTCTGTGTATTTGAAGGGAATATGAACAGTGAGCGATACACAGATATGCTCGAGGGACATTTACTTACATATGCTTACGTGTTCTATAGAACTTTTTGGATTTTCCAAAACATCGTTCAAAGTATTCACAGGCCTGGTTTCGGACCCAAAGTATGACATTATTAGATTGGCCAAGCTATAGCCCTGACCTAAATCCAATAGAAAATGTTTGGGGGCTTATGAAGGAAATTGTCAATAAGAAAAATCTGATAAATATTGCTGAAATGAAAGAAGAGGGGGTCCGAAATTGGGACAGCATGGACCACGATTTTCTAACTTATTTGATCAGTAGTATGCCCCGCCGTATTGAAGCCTGCATTGCTGCCCATGGTGACTTAATACTTACTGTTCACCTGCCTTTGAATCTGGAGTTATGTTCTGCTAATATTCACATTTAATACGTGAGTAATGAGTGAGAAAATACAAAAACTTACAATCTCTAAATCCTCAATAATTTCTGGTTGTACTGTAAAATGTTTCTGTATTTCACTTGTCGTTTAACAAAACCTCAAATTCGATATTTTGTTATCATAAACTAAGCCATTCCGAGTTGTCTCCCTTTATGACCGTTCAGGAAAAATCATGGCAAAACTTTTTGCGTCTCATTCTGCCGATGATTGAATGTTTTTGTTTAAAGATATGCTAAATAAAAAGATCTTGATCTCTACTAAATTCGTCACACGGTGTTTAGAAAGGGTGTACACCGTACACCGTACACCCTTTCAAAACACCATGTTACTAATAATGTATACTTAGGCGCTGATATACCTTACAAATCACAAATCTCATGACTATGCTCTTCCGTAAAGTCATTAAATGTTTTGCCCAAAGGATAGCATATGAAACGATTTTGCTACAATAAACAATTGAAAACAAATATTTCTAAAATATTTTTAAGTACGCAAAAAGAAGACAAAATATAGATAAAACATAGATCATTTCCATGCATCATTTAATATTACCACCTGTACGTTATCATGTGTGTACTCACAGTCGTGACGTATATAAAGTCTGATGTGTTGTATCTTCTCTGGAACCGAA